TTGCCCGTGTGGGACCCAGCCACCATAGCCACTGGCTAGCCCAATACCTGGCCTTTACATACGGCTCTGACACCAGAGGGCCTGTCCTGTTCTACCTACAGCCCCTGGACCTTGCCAGTGTCCTTACAGAGCTGATACTCACTCTGGCACCTCTCACTGGGCTCCAGGACAGTCTTCAGGTTTGTCGCATGCCTCTATGCTTATTGCCTTTAGAGTCGATTTCCCTAGGCCTGCTTCCTCATCTCTGATGCTTTCTCCCATCATCAAGAAGAACACGCTCCATGCCCAGCTGTGCTCGTTTTGGCTTAGCCTAGGAGGACTATCCAACCCGTTCTTGTTCTGCCTCCTTAACAGTCATCAAAGTATCAAAAAAATAATTCAAACCATTGACCTGTTTTTTTCACTTGGTAATTGGGACAAACTGAAGCCCAAAAGTTGGACAAGCAAGCAGACATTCACTTGTAGCCTGCAAAACCTAGACCTTACTAACAGTGAAAGAGGAGGACTAGCCAAGGGGCCAGGGTGAGCACCAAAAACACCTCTAAGATGGAGCTCAAAGTGAGCTTAGGGTTCCAGGAGCAGCCTTTGATAGAATGCTCTCATTCATTTCTGTACTCTCAATGCATAGATTAGTGCCTACTATTTTAGAGACATTCATTAAGAATTTGTCAAGTAAATAAATGAATGAATGAAGTTCCTATTCACACCCTTCTCTCTATAGTTTTATTGCTTTGTCTGCCTTGATTCCTTGGCTCCTGATCTTTCCTAACACTCTGCCTCTGTTATCTTCATGTAGGCTCCTGGGACTGACTCAATGTTATCTTCATGTAGGCTCCTGGGACTGACTGACCTGACCTTTTGGATCTGACATTCACATTTTCTTCACATAATGCCTCATGAGTACCTCTTACTTCAGAGGTTGTTTTTTTGTTTGTTTTTTTTTTTTTTTTTTGGTTTTTTGGGTTTTTTTTTTTTGGTCTCTTTTTTGTCTCTTTTTTGTCTTTTTTCTTCTGTATTTCTCCAGGTAAATGGAAAGAGCTTAGGGACAACACGTCATTTGGCTTCTGGTTCTAGCTCTGACATCAGGCAAGTCATGTAAGCTCTCTGGGCTTCATGTGAAAGTAGGTTGAATGGCTCAAGTTTGGAACATGATGTAACATCTCCTTTTTGCCATTTAGAAATCCTGAAAGTTCTGGGGAGTCTGGCCATAAGGAAAACTTGTTGGCTGTTGTTTAAATGTAGCACTTCTGAACATTCTTTTGATTAAGTGCTCCCACACACACACACATGTAATACCTATTGACACTACATTGAATTAAGCTTTCAGAGGACAAATGCACTTTGGAAATTGCTAGAGACTATAGGGTCCGTCCCCAGATTAACATTCTTTGGTTAAATTCATTTGCATGAAGGTATGGGCAAGGACACCTCATCACCAAGCAAAGTGGTACAAAATTAAGAGAATGATGGGTCTGAAAGAATTCCCTAAACTATTAGTGCCACTCTTTGCCAATATCCTTGTGTTGGTTCTATTTTCTGGGTCTGTCATTTATCAGCAATTAATGAGACTAAGTGGAATCAAAGCCTCCACCTTCCTTATGGAGATCTAAGTTGGACTTGGGGTGGGGGATGGGAGGCCAGCTGCAGCTTTTTATCTTTTGGTGACAACAAGTAGTTGTATTCCTTCTTGGGCAGTCACCGGGTTCATGAATAGTGCCACAGTCTTTTAAAGCCAGGACTGCTCTTTTGATCTGCAAGTTCATATGACTCCACCATGGGCAAGGCCTTCTGTCCCATTCTCCCCTCCCCCTTCCTGTGTTTGTCTCTGCCCTTGCTAGAGTTTGGGCTCCCAGCCAGAATGAAAGCAGTGAGTTGCCCAATTCAAAGAAATAAAGGAAAACACCCCCCCCTCCAATTTGATGGTAAATAGCTGTGGAGGAGATATAATAAACCTCTTCATTAAGCAAATGCAGCTTTTAGATAAGTGAGGAATTATATCTCTAAAGCTATTCTTCACAACTTGCAACAGTTCTAAGTGGTCAAGACTGTCATGATACCATGGAGATGGAATTTAAGTATAGAATTTGAGGGACTTTAGCCTGCATGGTTTTCTTCCCTCCAGCCCTGTCTTAGTGTTTGGTATTTAAAAAATAAAATTCTTTTAAGGTGAAGCTGTAAACTAAGTGCAACTTCTGACATAAGGAGTTAAAGAACATGGATACTATTTTAGAGTATGTTAAAAAAAAAAATGTACTGATACTGACATGACTGCCAGTCAAGAGAGCTCAAGACAGACGAAGGAGAGGTTCCCTCGTTGGCACTGGTTCCACCAAATGGGGCAAGAGCTTTGTTATTTTCTATCCAAAAACCTCTCCCTTTCTGTGCCTGAGCATGTATTTGTCTTTTCAGGGTGAGTTCTACCCATAAGTAAAGGATGACCAAATATATTTCCTTCAAAGTTCCAATCTGTAGGGCCCCTCTGGGATTCAGGTATTATTTCCAGAAAGTGCTAGCTAAGATATAGTTATCAAGGATGGACCACACACCAGAACATGGTCACCCTCCATTACTTTCCATGACGCCTGCTGCATATCCTCCCTTTCCCTTGTTCTGCTCCATCCTTGTTGGCCTCCTTACTATTGTTCAAACACTCTAGACACGTGCCGTCAGGGTTTTTGCATTTGCTGCTCCCTGCCGCTGGAACATTCTCCCTGCTCTCCTCCTTCAAGTCTTTAGCTTCATGTTATTTTCTCAAGAAGCTGTCCTAACCAACCTGTTTAAAACAGCAGCTTCCTGGCCCGACAATTCCTAGCCTCCCCCCTTGTTTGCTTGATTGCTTCCATCGCACTTAAGACTGTCTCATGTATCTTTTTCTTTTTTGGGGGGGAGAGATTTTCGCTATAGGGCACATGCGCTCGCCAGACAGAGAGAGACAAAGAGACAGAAAGTGAGAAATCACCCCCCAGGGGGGATGGTCACGCCGCAATCCCTTCTCCTCCATTCTCCTCTAGGGATCTTGGGCATACAGGCACATGCGCCCGGCGTGAGTTTTAAGCCACTGGGTCCGGGACGCAAACCGCGGTCGACTACGTGGGAGTCCAGCGACATAGCCATTTCGCTAACTGCTGGTTCCCTACTGTCTAATGTATCTTTTGCTTATTTATTTTACTCATGGTCTGTTTCCACTACTAAAATGCTGGTCCATGACAGCAAGGAATTTTGTCTTTGTTTGCCGCTGTAACCTTACCAACAAAGTGTGCCTAGAATAGTGCCTGGACATCACAGTCATTCAATGACTATTTGTTAAAGAATAAATTAATGAATGAATGAATCGCCTAGCTTGCTGCCATCTAAGAGAGATCAGAACCCTGAGACAAAGGGCACAGGACTAGTAGGTTTGGACTACAGAATTAGTGAATGGCTCTAGGGGAAGAATCTATGAAATCAGAGGGCTCTGGGCATACAGTTGGCAAGCATTAGAGTAAAAGTGTTAAAGATACTCATTTATCAGGTCATAATAATGATACCAAGTGGTGCTTTAAGTACTCCTCCAAGCTCTCTTTTCTAAAGTCTGTAAGTCTTATTATCAGAAAATTGCAACCGTGTCTGCTGTTCTCCCAGACACAACCAGTGATGAATGACTCCATAAAAAAACAGGCCCAGTGTTGCTTAAACCCATGCATGGATGAATGAGACTCCCAAACATTCCCCAACCAGAAATTTGTCCTTGGTTAGCAGCACTTCTGCTCTCCTCCAGCCTCTGCATAAAGCCACCTTCCAATTCTCTGCCTGACTCTCTATATCTAACTACTTGTCAGGCTATGGCAGTTTTATTTCCAAGATGCTTCTTGCATCCTTTGCCTCTTATTTTCATCACCACAGTCCTAACCAGGCCCTCACTAGATTTTTGCCTGCCTATTACAATAGCTGTCCAACTGGTTCCCTATCTCTAGTTTCTTCCTCCTCCAACCCATGCTGCGAACAGCTGCCACAATGGGATGTCACTCTCACTAATCTTACAAAATTCCAGTGGCTTCCCATTACCCTTGCAATGAGCCATTTAAACTACTCTAGGCTTTTCACCCACTAAATGACCCTCCAATATAGCTTTGTCTACTCATGTACCTAAGCATGACTTGTTCCCAAATAAAACGTACATTCTACTTAAACATCTTGGTTTTCCTTCCTCCCTACTCTCCATTCCCTTCTACTCATATGTCCTTATTTCCTCTCTCTGCCTGTTAAAATTCTATCCAGAGACCTTAAGGCCCATTCACTGGTTGACTCATCTAGTAAATCAGTCAACAGAGATTCGGAAGTGAAGTCTTCTTTCCCCATATCTCCTATGTCAGAAATATGTTCCATGTATTTATCCTATGTTCCCTTTGCTAGGGATATTGTTCTCGTGTATGTCATTTGTGTGGTCCCCAAGGGTAGGGACTTCTGTGCCTCTATTTTATTCCCAGAATACTTTACATGACAGCTTGTTCATAGCAGGTGCCCACACCTATTCCAGGATGATGATAAAAATACATCTCCCTACTTTTCTCAGGGTGACTCTAATCCTCTCAAGATCACTTTATTGACTATAATTGGGGAAACATTACCTAGAAATATTTCCTTCCCCTCTCCACACAGTCGGCAGGGCTTATAGTCCTCAAGCTGGCTAGCTGTCGCTCAAAGCTGAGGGAGCTGAAAGCACAGAGTAAAAACAAATGTTACACAACTTCCTCCAACATGAATTTTAAAAAGGAAGTCATCAGGGTGAGAAGAACAGAGACTTGATTTACCAGTTGAGGCTGTTGTCCCAGGCACATATACATCCTTTATCTCCCCGATGCCCCATGGCACACACCTGGATATCCTGGGTGCCTTGTTTTCGGGCAGGCAATTTGGTGGTATGTAAAATCTGGAATTACAGGGGTGGGGTGAGATAATAAGGATAAGAAGAAAGAAATAGAAGGATATAAATAAGGGAAAGAAGGAAATTGGGGAAAGGAAAGGAGGAAGGAAGAGAAACAAGGAAGGAGGGAGGTAGAAAGAAATTTAGTTTTACCTTATCAGGCATGAACATTGTGAAAGTAAATAAGCTGAGAGATATCTGTAACATGCCATTGTGTAGCCTCTGCTGTTAGGTTTCATTCTTGCTCATTATTATTGTCTGTGATTTTCTGGCACCAGTGCAAACTTGCACCATTGACCTGTTCTTTGGTCCTTCTCTTTTGCTTTGTATATGAACGCTTAAAGGGAGAAGCACAAATCTTTATCTCTGTTCCTTAGGTCTGAACATGGCATCTGGCATGAGGTGGGCACTTAAGATATGTGTATTAAGGGCAGGCAGGTGGTGTAGTGGTTAAGGCACTGGACTCCCACATGGCCAAACACGGTCCATGTTCCAAACCCAGCGGCATGAAAATCCTGCCAGGCATATGTGCATGTGTGCCCAAAATCCCAACAGGAGAATGGAGGAAAAGGGATTGCGATATGACCATCCCCTAGGGGGTGATTTCTCACTTTTCCTCTCTCTGTCTCCCTCATCTCTTTCTGATGAGCACACACTCCCTATGCAGAAAGCTAAAAAATGTTAAAAAGTAATATATGTATTAATGATGGTGATGTAAAGTATAAAGTTGTACTTTTGAAACTTCTCCTACTGGCTTACCAGGTCTTGCATTTTGTTCTAAGCACTACCACCTGTACAATTATTTGCCTCTTTCAATTGATTCATACTTTCTTTTTTTTCTTTCTTTTTAACTTTTTGCCTTTTTTTTTCAATTATATCAATGAAATTGGCAGATTTAGGTGAGTTGTACTTTTCTTAATACAGATTAAAATAAGTAGAAAACTTTTCAAATAAATGGTATTTATTCAGGTACCACCCAAATCAGTATACTTACAGGAGGCAGATCACCTTTGGGAAACACTAATTATGCTTTGTTCCTAAAACTGTGACATCATTAAGTCTATCATTTCGATAGAATTTCTACACACTCACCCATGCTGTCTTTCTAAAGAAGAAAATCAACACAATGAGTTTAAACTTTTCTATACCAGTTGTTTAATTCGCAGGGCATAATTTGTATCTGAGGAAAGGGGAGTTGCTTTATCCTCTCCCCAGATATTGTAGTTAGATAGATTCTGAGATTGAGAAAGAATGTGGCCATTTTAGCATCAATGGTGAAGATGCCCTCAGATCCTGACTCGACTCTCTCACTCATCCCCGTACCCTCAATGTCTTCCCCAAATTCAGGTAGCCTGTCTGGGAAATGACCCTTGAAAATCTTCTAGAAGAGAAATATGCAAATTTTACAAGCAGATTATTTACAAAAGAAGAAATGTAATTAGCCAATGGGGATATGAGAAAATACACAATAAAATGAATTCAGATTGAAAATGGACTTGACTTATTTTGAATCTTTTTAAATAAGAATCGGTTTTAAAGATAATGTCTAATGTAATCAGAGTGGGCTGAAACTGATAGTCTCATACTTCACAGGTGACTATGTGATGCAAAATGACTAAACTGGTATAAACATCACCGAAGTGCAATTTGGTAAAGTGAATCAAGTGCTCGAAAACTTGATGAGTCCTTCAATTTAGTGATCATTTTGTTTCTAGGACTCTGGTCTATGAAAATAACTCTAGATATAGAAAGAATTATATGCATGAAGATGTTTGTTACCATACTACTTATACTAGTGAAAACCTAGAAATGACCCAAATATCAACAATAACGAGAGTACATGAACAGAATCTGTAGTGTATATATACATTCAGTGGGTGATCACATATCTACTAAAAATTAGGTTTACAACAACACTTAATGATATGTCAAAATGTTTAGTGGATAATAGAATAGAAAACCGTAAATGATCAGTATATAAAAATATATGCATTTAAGAAGAGCTTCAAGAGAATGCCCTCGTTCCCCGGCAAGGCATTATGGCTAAGTGCATGAACTCTGGCATCAGGTTGACTGTGTTTGCAACTCAGGTCTACGACTTTGTGACCTTGGCAAGTTGCTTAATTTCTCTAAGACTTCGTTTTTCTCATCTGTTAAATGTAATTGCTATCTCACCATGTTGTTGTGAGGATTAAGTAAGATAGTTTATGTAAAACATTTCAGCTCAAGGCTGGCACATAGTAACACTGACTAAATAATTACTCATCCTGCAAATACTTATCAATCATTGACTATGTGCAAATCACCTAATATGCTGGCGAATCATGAGAAAATTCCATCTCCCCTATTTTCTGTAACACGCTTACATTAGCTTTGTGAGGAAAGGCACCCTACTGTGCCTGCTTTTGTTGGCCACCCTATCATCTCTCCCTTGCACTACTCAAAGAGCCTACTAATTGTTCTGTTTGGCCTTCCCTTTCTTATCCATTCCAAAACAAGGATTTGATCAGGTTACAATCTTCACTATGTCTTCATGACTTGCAAGATGAGGCCCAATGTCTTTTTTTATGGTTTTCAAAATCTGGTCTTGATTTACTTTTAAAGCATTCTTTCTTTCCATGTTCTATCTCTGCTCCAAGCACTCTTCCGCCCCCATCCCCACCTAGACAGAACAGTCATGGTCAAAACTCTGGCATTCCTACAGCACAGCCTGGCTGTTCTCAAATTTTCTCCTCCTTTAAAATGGTGACCACACCCCGGAGGATGCAGATTCCAAAGTCTGGAGTGGAACCCAGGAATCTGCTTCTTTAGTAAGCACACTATGTGATTCCAAGACGATATTCAAGGGTAGTTTGCAGGTTCGTCTTCCCACCTGACGGATGCTCCTGCACTTGCCAGATAGCTGAGAGGTGGGCTATATTTTCCTGACTTCTTCAGGAAAAGATGATCCAGTCTCTGTAATTCTGGCATATTTTATCCAAACCTTCAGGAAGGTGATCATTTCCTTGTGCTTTCTTTACTTACTTCCACAGCTGCTTCTCCCACTGAATTGTGAGCTTCTAGATTTCAGGGCCTATGCCTTGTTTTCCCTATAACCCCTTACCCAGCACAGTAACTGGCACATAGCAGACCCATGGAGATGCCTGTGGGATATATTCCTGCACTGCTCCATTGGCATGAATCCTAGAGGATTCTATCAGTCATGCTAAGCTATCTTCCATTTGTAATGAGTATTACAGATACTGGCTAACTGACTCTGTTCAGAGCCCACCCAGGCTGGCTCTGCTCATAGCCCACCCAGGCTGTGCAAAGCCAACACACTTTCTCACAAGAACAACTAAGCATATTATCTGCAACCACATAGGTAGGATGCTCCAGGGGAAAGACTGACCCTGAACAAGATGCTACCAAGTTTACATGCATGTCATGAGGACTTCAGTCTGCTGGATATTAACTAATCTTGGGTAGTTGCACTACAGACAGGTAAGCATTTGAACAGGCACAAACCCACCTGGTGATCATCCTATGACTAGATCTCAACAGATTTGCCATGAGCTCTCCTGTTTAAATGCTAGAATAACAAAATACTATTCATGTGAGCTCTGAAATCAGAGCATATTAGTTAGAATTACAACTCCACTGCTGGGTGACACTGGATATGTTATATAACTTCTCTGTGCCTATTTCCTTATCTGTATGATGGAGATAATAATAGTACCTAACTCACAGAGTTACTGCAAAAAAGTAAATGAACTAAAGCATGTACAATCTTTAGAATAACTCTGAGTGCATCTTAATTATTCAATAAATAATAATTATCACAATTAGATCCCAAAGCTGTAATATATTATAATATGGAGTCAAGGCATATTTTAGTTTGAAGATTTTCCTCTTTTTTTTGTTGTTGTTGTTGGTTTTTGGTTTTTCTATAGAGAATGTGCACTTTCTGGAGACAGAGAGAGGGAAAGTATGAAATCACACCCCAGGGAAGATGGCCACACCACAATCACTTCTCGTCTCCTTTGGGGATTTTGGGTATCCACACACACATGCCTGGTGTGTTTTTCAAGCCACCAGGTCTAGGACTCAAACTGTGCAGTTGGATGTGGGATCCAGTGACCATGATCTCCATGCTACCTGCTAGCCTATCTCTGGTCTTTTTTTCAAACACATCTTAACATTTTCTATAATTTTCTTTGTCCCCGATTAACTCCAACCTTGGAGACTTGACTTATAACCTATCAGGTTAGCTTTGACTCCATAGAACTTGCAAAATCAAAGTTCATTTGTTTGAGATAAGTTTGAAATAACTAAAGAGAACATAAGAGTGCTACCTTTGTAGAAAGAAAGAAATTAAACACCCCCAAATGATAGAATAATAAAGAAAATTTAAGGAAAAAAACTGATGAAAAACGAAGTCCCATCTATTCAAGATTGTTGGCAATATCTTCCATGAAAAGAAGCCTCTTGCCTTTTATACTTTCGAGGAAACTGAGGCATAAAGCTGCTGCTCTGTGTACCAATTATGGGTCAAATGTGGAGTTTAGTGTTCTACATAACCAACCTCTTTGAAAGCCCATTTGCAATCACTATTGTTCTGATCTTTCAGAGGAGAAACTGAATAATTACATTATTAGAATAGCAAAACCATTGTAAATTTACACCCAGTTCAAATAGTTTCAAAGTTGAAGAACCTTACATTTTCCTACATTGCTTCCTCAATGTCCCTAATTATGCCTCTTAGAGATGGAATTCTGACTGATGTTTCTTTCCTAGCCTCAAAAGGTACTAGCAAATATTTATTCCAGGCCAGTTTCCAGTTCTAGCCCTGCAGCTTATAAGGAGGAAATAATATCCTGGACGAAGTCCTAATTCCCGGTACTTCGGAATGTGACCTTATGTGAAAACAAGGTTGTCAGAGATGTAATTAGTCAAGTTAAGATGAAGTCAGATTGGACTAAGGTGGGCCCCTAATTCAGTATGACTGATGTCCTTATAAAAAGACA